TCATATTTCAACGCCTCATATTAAGGTTACCTTGATGTCCCTAGCCACGAAGGCGTTTAATATATCAACGTATTCCCTTGGTAATAATACGCTCCCAAGTACATAATGCAAATGATGTATGCTTCAGCCTCGAATATTGAGGATCAGTACCCGAGAGCCTATGTGATTTTTACGTTCTCGTTGTACACCATTTCTGCTGAAGATGATAAAATGAGGTGATTCTTAAGGTCTCCAAGCTTTGGATTCATTTATCGCATGAATCTTGATTCTCCATTTATTGTCGTCTTTTAAGGAAGCACATGAAGCGGAATCATCTTAAAAATAATTCAAAATTAAAATTTAATATATGTACACAATTTTACTTGAAATTTTGGAAACGAAATGGATATTTCTAATTTCCTAACATTAAACTAAAATTATTTCTACCCGGCAATCTTAAAAAAAAGGTTTAAAAATATTCTCATGTCGTCTTATTATTTAAATATTTAATACGGCACGTGGTATTTTAAATGTACTCAACTGTAAATATTTTCAATAACTGAACATAATGTAAGTAGATGAGATTTAAAATTTCACATATGTATATATTTTGGGTTCAATTAATTTTGTACTCTTTCAAATTCATATTTAATTAAGTGGGCCATTTTTTTTTCTGGCATATGTTTTACATAATGTATAAAAAAAAGTATTAACTAAAAAGGCATATTAAATGATATTAAATTGTGTATTTCGAGTATTAAATACACTACAGAGATATTATAATATCCTTTTTGTCCTTAATTTTTTTTCCTCTTGAACTTTAATATTTAAATTTCCTTTCTTTTTTTAAATCACAAAATATTTAAATTGAAAATATTCCTATAGGAGTGATTTTTCTTTGGAATATTTTATTTGATTATGACATAATTTCGAAAAAAAAAGAAATTTTTAAATTTTCAAAAATTCTATATGTATCTTGTTCCATAATTACAATATTGTTTTATAAATGAGTTGAACCACAATACCATACGAAGTTTACATATGGCAAAACTAAATAAAAAGCCATAATAAAAACAAATAGAGCAATAAATATGCTATAGATCAATTTTTCTTATGCGGTCAATTAATTTGCTTTTAACTACATTCACTTCTATTTATTACGTCTAAGCACCTGGTAAATTCGAATATTTTGTGCGGGTCGATTTCTCGCCATTCTTTTGCTGCGACGACATACTCACCTACAGACTCCATTTTTTTGTGGAATCGAAGTCTCCTCCATTTCCTTACATAACCTGCAGGTCTCTTCTGCCGTGGCCCCCATGATTCGTACAAAAAATTTTTTTAGAAAAACATCGTAAGTCTCACATTGTTCTTCAAGGAAAAAAAAACCAATGAAGTTATGAACACTTTAATTGCATATTTGTAGGATGCCAACAATGTCAATAACAAAAATCAAAGAAATGTCGAGAATTGTCGATAACAAAGAAGATAAATTTATTTTCAGTATTTATTATAAAACATTGTAAAATTATTATAGATGCAGTCAAATTACAATAATAACCTCTACAAAAAACATTATTATAATCGTATAACATATCATAATAACAATCCGAAATAATAGTTAAATTTACTACAATTAGTATAATGATAATACTTTAGAATACTAAAATTAGTAATAAATATTTATAGTCAAAGCACATCCTCACTCCTTCCCTCTGAATATTCCCTAAAAACAAAAAAATTATAAAGGAAATAAAAATTTTAACATTGATTCACCAGCAGAAAATTCTAGTTTAATGTGAAATGATTCAGGACACATATTATATTAATTATTACCCTATATGTTTCATTATAAATGTTAGACTAGAATAACAATTCATCATATTAAGCAGCTCCCTCTCAGAGGTCAAAAAAATTTCAAAAATATTAAATATTATAAAATATATGAAATATAAAATTTAAAATAAAATTCATAATAATTTATTAAAAATAGCTATGTGCAATTTAAAATGCACTTCTATAAATAAATTCAAAATTTTAACAATAAAATTTTTTTATTACTGTGAACAATATGGTGCACAAACATTTAAAATAGAACAGAAATAAATTCACAATAATGCACTTATTCCAAATTATTTTTATTATAGAAAACATAAATGAATTTTAATTAGATTTTTAATGGGTTTCAATTCTTAGAAAACAGCACCAATAAATGGATAAAATTATCTTGAAAGTCCTTTATAATTTATTTTTTTCTATTTTTTCTCTTTTCTTTATTAAAATGTTGCATTTTTCTATATTTAAACAAAAAAAAAAACAAAAACAAGGATTGTTTCAATGTTTTACAAGGTTTACCAATTGATGACACATTTGGTGTTGAAGCATTTGTATATGAAGTACCAAAACCAGCCATTTTACTTGGAATTAATAATGATCCAGATATTAAATTTCCAAAAATTATTGTTAAAACACCATTATCAAAACGAATTCCTGATAATAATATTATTATTGAAAAATCAAATACAACAACAACAATTGTAGAAGCAGATATTCATAATAATTTTAATGATGATAACAGTATTGGAAATGTTGATGGTGGTGGTATTGGTAGTAGTGTTATTGATGGTGGTGATGTTATTATTATAGATGGTTATGATAGTAATAAAATTGAAAAAGGATAATAATAATTAAATATTTCCGATATTTTTTAATAATATATGAGAATATTTTATATAACAATATGTTGAGAGCAAGCAATATGTTATTTAGCAATAATAATTATGTCGAAAAAAAATAAAAAATTTAAATTAAATTAAAATATTTATGTAAATTTAAATGGCGAAAAAAAAAATACAAATAATTTTTTTTGAAATTTAGTTAAAGGAAAATAATTTTTGAAAATATTTTTTGTGTCACGAAAGTTTTTACTTTCATGTAAATAAGTAATTTTTTACTTTTCATTGAATTTCCATGACACTATCCATAATCCGATTAAAATTTTGTAGTATAACAGTAATTAAATATTAAAATTTAGAGGCTTTTTAGAAAATTGTGGATTAGAATATTAAGTACGTATTTATGTACGAATATAAAATAGGATACACTAAAAGCAGGATCCTGGGAAAATGATTCTCAAATATTAAATATTTGAGAAAAATATAAAATTTTTTTTTATTAGTTCATTAGCTTATAAGATGAATATAAAATGGCAGAATACAAACCTGCTGTACCTTACGTATTTAAAGCAAGTGTCGTGTCCAATTTCAATACCTAATTTAAAATTCCCCCAACACAATAATAAACTGAAATGCTAATTTTTCACTTGAATAATGTTCTCCGTCAGCTAACTACTTGGAAATTAAATAATCAGTGTCCCTCATTTCGGCAGCTGTTAGTTCCAATGCATGTAAATACAAGCCGAACAAACTCATAAGTAATGTACGACACCCATACGGTAGAACAAAATTCTCACTCCAATTGACTTACACTGGCTAAAGCATGTTAAAAATTTTAATACTGCATTCAACAAGACAAATAACATATTTCCCTTGCCCTTTTGAAGTTCAAAATATTTTTCTCCAATTCTCTCCAATTGCACTTAAAGTTGCTTAAAATATTTTTAAAACTGAGAGTGTACAAAAAATTTTAAACCTTCTTTTCTGTTATCAAGGATATTTCCACATGTTGAATAGTGTAAAATAGCGCATTGCTCACAATATATAATTCAGTTTGTAGCAGCGAGATCACGGCCACAAATTTCTATTCCCCTATTTGCAATTTTGTTTTCCTTCTCTCCTTTATCAATATTATACGTCAATGGAAACGTGAGTGTGTTATGAAAATGAGAGAATAACCTAAATCAAAACCCATAATTTAAAGTGTATTTAAGGCAGCTCCTTTTCAATTACAACAGAGAAGACAAATTCTCATTGATAAATGAAAAACTCTCGCTTGTTGAATTTCATTTGAATAAAATTTCTCCGATTTTAAATAAAAATTGATTGCTTTCTCTTACCGGAACAAGTAAAATCCAAAAAAAAAAAAATTTAACAATTCACTTCTAATGACAAGGAAGAGTGCGAAAATTGTTGAAAAAAATTAAAGAAGAAAGAAAATATAACCTGAGAGGTTTTTCTTTTTTCAGTTACCAAAATTTATTACCACCCATTTTAACCCTAAATATTATTACATTTCAAGTGAAATTCATAAAGAGAACGAAAATAAAAAATATGCATATAAAATAAATTGTGTTGACAAATTTTTTCGACATTTTTTTTTTATTTTAAATTTTTTATAAAAATAAAAGAAATTTTTTTCCACTCTCCACCCAAACAAAAAAAAAATATCATTGCGTAACAAAGAGAAATCAAAAATAAATCAAAACAAAAATTATAATTTCCAAAGGATTCATAAATCATTTCACCAGGTTATCCTTTTTATATTTTATTTATTTATGAACCTTTAACATTCTGTTCAATTCAAAAGTATTCGACAAAGGTAAACAATACTGAAAAAGAAGGTGGAAAATTTTTTTCGAATTTCAATATAAAGTGCTATAAATAGAGCCTTTTCCAATTTAATAAAAATTTGGAAAAGAAGGAAAAAAAACATTTCATATTCTTAAAACTTTTAAAATAAAAAAATTTTTATTTGGGCGTACACAGAAATTGGGTTCCTAAAATTTCGTTGAAGAACTGATAAAAAGACATCCTGCGGGAAATTTCTGATATTTTCCTTTTAAGAAAACAAAAATTATTGGAAAATTATTAAAAATTATTGCGTACATTATCAAATAACCGGTTCGTCATGTTATTTAATAATAAAATATTAAGAAATCTCGTAAAGCTCATGCAATTTTCATGTCAATTCATCGATTTTAAGGAGTTCAATATAACTACATTCAAACTAAAATATTTCAAGCAAAAAAATCTAAGTCAAAAAATTTTAATTTGAACTAACAAGATAATTTTCGAAATATTCTAAAAATATTATTATACCTATATTTACAAATATATATGTAGGAACATATACGGCAATCAAAAGAAAGTAAACTTGATGAAATGGGACGAAGTTCAGTAAAAAGATCTGGTGAAAATTTATCAGTGAAATTATCACCAAAGTAAGTTTTGATTTTCTACTAATTAATTTATTTAATACTAAACCTAACATTAATATATTAATTATTTTTATTAATATTTTCTTTGGGCATTCTCAGAGAGAAACATTCACAAACATCACTACAAATTCTAGATGACGTTTCAAATAATTTTTACAGAAATATGATGCCATTACCAGAAATAAAAGCAGATCCAATTTTAAGACAACAACATGATATTGTTGCACAAACAAATTTGGGACCAATTATAGATGATCGTGAATCATTAGCATCACCAGATCGAGGTATTGGTAGTACTACATGTGATATGGGTTGTCAGACTAGGTAAATATTATATTTTACTTTGAAAATTTTTTCTTAACAAACATTTGAATTCACAATTTTCACATAATATTTTTACACAATTACATATACATTGTTTTTACTAAAGGATATTTTACTATATATATATATATACATACATGTGTTTTTTCTATATTATGTTTTCTTATACAAAAAAAAAAATATTTTTTTTAACTAACCTAAAACTAATAAGCTAGAATGATCTAACGTATTAAAATTACTTTAAAAATATAGCTTCTTACACTTTATACAAAATTCCAGAGAATCATTATTTTCTCCTCCATCAACAACAACTTTAGTTAGGCAAAAATCATTAGGATCATCACCATCACCAAATCAATCACAATCAGCTATTCGTTTTTCAACATTCGGTTATGATACAAATAACCCACCGATGGGTCAAAAATCAAAGACCCTTTCTAGACAAAGTACAATAAATAATAGAACATCAGCTGCTATAGAATTAGAAGAATTACAATATCATCATAGTACATTACCTCATAATATACATCAACATCATATAAAACAACATCAACAGCAACAGCAACAACAACAACAACAACCATATCCAATTGGTTTTTCAAAATTTCAACAATCACGATTAAGTGGTATGCAAGGTGGTGCTGATATGCAACAATTATCATCAAATAGAGGACAACCGGAAGTATGTCATCATCATCATCAACATAAACAACATTTACAACAACAACAACAATTACAAGCTGCACAACAACAACAACAACAGCAACAACAACAAATTGGATTAAAATTAGCTAGTGGTGGTGGTAATACCACAAATACTGGTAGTAGTGGCAGTAGTAGTAATAATAAACAACAACAGGGTAAATTAGATGAATCAAAAGTTTATATTGATATTAGAAAATCAGCACCAGATGTCATCATTATGACATCCCATTGACAATTAAGGAAATTTTTTAATAATAAAAATTTTTTCAATAATAATTTTTATTCTAAAAATTTTAAAATTTATAATAATTTTTTAATTATTTTAGAGGAAATTTTAATTCAAATTTTTATTAAATTTAAATTATTATCTAGTATTTAATTAGAGAATATATTATTGTAATTATTGTTATCTATATAATAATAATATTAATTAAAATTAATAATATAAATTATATTTTTTTATTTTTATTTATGAGTTTAGATTTTAAAATTTTAATTATGACTATAAGATTATTAAATGAAATAAATCTAATTTATTAATTGAATTTTAAAATACTGCCATATTAAATATTTAAATAATTAATTAATTAATTTTATTTCGTTGATAGATAATAATGAAATTTAAAGAAAAATATTTTCAAATAGAAAAATTTTTAATTATATATTAAATTTATTTTATTTTAAAAATTCAATTTTAAATACAAAAACACCGAATAAAAACATTGCTCAAAATATCAAATATGAATGTTCTTTTTTTGGTATAACAAAATTAAATTTTAAATAAATTTAATTAGCGGTAAATAATAAAAGGTTTTCAAAGATTAGATCATACAATATATAGAGATATAAGACCTACTATGGTTTTAATTAAATTTCAATTAAAAATAGCCACAATTTTATTACATATTAATTGTTATTTTATTACATTTTATATAATATTAATTTTATTAAATGCTAGCAATTTTATTAAACAGTAGAAATCTCAAAAAGAGAAAAATTATACTGCATAATTCACCACAACAGTGTGGTGAAGTGATTGGTTTTTAAATAAAATACAAAAAAAAAATAATTATTTTATTCTTATTTTATATGAAAAAATTATTGAAATTTTGTACAAAAAATCAAGTTTATTTATAATAGATTTTTGGTAAATTAACAATAATATAACAGTTTCAGTAATAACATGAAAATAATGTTAAAAATTTTAATTTTTCATTATTGCAATTTAAATATTAAATAAAAATTTTTCTGGTCATAAACTTCTTGAAATGATGTTCAGCTTATGTAATTTTATCCGAACCAAAAATAATTTTCCTCCTATGAGAATTAAGCTGTGTAATTTCTCGATTTCTCATAATGTAGAACTTATATTATGCGTTCTTTATTTTAAAGTTGCTTTATTGAAAATTTGTATAATACAGAATTTCTGCTAAGAAAGCATTAAGATGTTTAATGAGTTATTATCAAGCAATTTTTAAAACTGTTATACAAATTTGTTAATTAAACAATTATTTTCTGTATATAAGGTATATGTGTACAAAATGAAAATATGTGTCCAAATGTGTTATTCGAGATTAACTTCGAGAAATTTTGAAATTTCAAATTGACTAACCATATCCGAGCTACAAATTTGATTCCGTTTTCTAACCATCGTAAACAAACAAAATGTTAATGATAAACTCTCATTTGTGACCATTGTAACACTCAATCAATAGAGCAAGAAAAAAAATTATAATTAATAAAATGCATATAGAGTGAAGGTAGTATTAAAATTCAATTTTTGTTTTTTTTGCTTTGAAATACTCGTATTAATCCAAATCTGATTCGAACAAATGAAAAAACTGTTATACAAAATAATAATGAAAATGTATAGTAATAAAATATGCGAAACGCGGTTTGTTTTCTGAATTATTGAAGCGAAATAAATTAAGCCTATATACTGATTACTTTTAGTGGTCATAACAAAAAACAGTAACAAAAACAGGAATTGTATGAAATCCATACCAATACTAACGCTTTCCTTTTTATGTAAAAATATTTTAAATATTTTTAATATGAAAATTGAAATATGAAAATTTGTTTGTAAATAATATTATGAATTAAAATTTATTAAATTATTTAATTTTTTTCAATCAACTGAGTAGCTATAGAAAATATTAATCTTTCAGATTTTATTTAAAAAAAAAAAATTATTTCCAAATACAATTTTTAAGTTCATTGAAAAATTTTATATCCTTATAATTTTTGTTGTCATTGTAAAATGTAAGAATTTAGTATGCACCGCTGGCAAAGTCTTATAGGACTTTCGCACTTTAATTTCAAAATCAGTTTTTTAAAGTTGCTGTAGGCGACCTAAAGGAATTTTAGAAATTTATTTGAAACGGTTTGCCTATAATTTACTTACAAGTTCGTAACAAAGTGGGAAATTTTAATGAAATCTTGCAAATAACCTAAACTGGAAAAATCGTAATTTTCTAATCTTAATTTCCAACTAGAATAATTTTTCTCTACTAGAATATTTAAAAAGAGAAGCGTATCTTTTATAGCAACACTTTAATTAATAAAATTATTGTATAACACTTTGTGGTCCATCTTCAATAATGTACGAATTACAATATACCTAAAACGGAATATTACAAAACTCTTCAAAGCTTCTGAACCCAATAGCTTTGATTTTCAGAGAAAAATTGACCATTTTTTACTAATTTTTTTTATTCAATTATTTTTGGACAGAACAATTTAAATTTACAAATGATTTTATACTTCTTGTTTCATATTATTTAAAATTTTAAAAAAATGTACTCAGCACATTTCTCTTCTTCTTCATAACCTCTTTTAAATACTACTTTGTATATCATCTTTTAATATAAAAGAAAATCTAATTAAGAAAAAAAAAACAAGAAAATAAAATAGTTGATATAAAATGAATTTATTAGATCAAAAAAGAAAATTTTTCAAATTTTTTTAAATAAATTATAAAAAAATATAAATTAATTGAATAAATAAAAATTACAAAAAAAAAAAAAAATATTAGCTATAATTTGTAAAGAAACAAAAAAAAATAACCTAATTATAGTTCTATAATTAAATTTAAATTATAATTTAATAAATTATACAATTTAGTGTAGGTATTTAATTAAAATATAATAGAAAAATAAATTAAATAATAAAAAATATTACGAAATACAGGGTGTTTCGCATAAGGTGGCAAATAAGTTCGGTTTTTTAAAAAAAAAATTGAAAAAAAAAAAAAGAAATTCTGATTTTGACGAGATTTATCTCGAAAACTATCAATCAAATTAAATTGAATGTCAGGACGAAAATAAAGAAGAATCAATTGCCTGTGAAACAAACCCTCGATGGTTACGCTATGTTACATGGTTCCGAAGTTAGAAGCATTTATTTATAGGCAGAAAAGAAAAATCTAGTACCTTTTTTTGGTCAACAGGCTCTAATTCGAAAACGAGTATATCTACACCCTTCCTACCGCTCCTCTTACATAATTTTTTGCTTGAATTTGATCAAAAAATCATCCCTGAAATTATTTTTCAAATTATGTGAAAAACTCTGTATAAATATAAATTATAAAGTATTTGTATGTACGTATATTGTAACAGAAACAATTAAAAAAAAAACTAAACACATACATAATTAAAAAAAAATTTATATATACACTATTTATATTAATATACCTATTTATAATAATTAATACTATCTAATTAATGTAAATAATATTATATATACCTATATACATATATAGATTAGTTAAAAATAATTGGAACAGATTGGGAAAAAAAAAACTGATAATTGTTTTTAATTTCATCTCTTTGGTAATGTTAAAAAAATATTATATATAAAAATTAGTTAAACAAGAAAAAATAAATAAATTTTATAAACAATTAAGGTAAAAACAAGAAAAAAAAAAAACAAAATCAAAAAAATAAAATTGAAAAATTATGTAAAAAAAAAAAATAAAAACAGGAAATAAAAATTGTAAAAAGAAAATCTTTGTAGATAAATTCTAAAGAAAACAAAAATATTAAAAAAAAAATAATGAAAATAAAGAAGAAAAAAAAAAGAAATCAAATTCGTTAACTAGTTTTTTTAATTTTTAATTTAAATCACTTAAAATTGGCCCAGATTTGTTGGCATTTCGAAGCGGAAAAAGTTCAATTATCCTGCATTTTAATGACGAATTAATAATAAGCTCTAAATCTTAAAATAAGTTCAAAATGTTAATAAAAAAACTATGAGCTTGATTCGAAAAGATACTCGAATTTCGAACTAATGGGAAGCTGAGTGAAGTACGGTCTGGTAAATTGTAAAAAATAAAAATTAATAGAAATGTATTCATCTTTTAAAATTTCTGGTTCTTGAAATCATTAAAAATAACCTCCCTTATCATATGCAATCTCATCGGTAGTAATATTGTAGCAGTTTAGACATACTATATGTAGCAACTAAGTTCGTACACTTAATTGCTGACAATTCTCAAAATTTTACATTATCTAAAAATTCGGCAATATGTTTTTTTTTTGTAATGGGAAAGAAAATTTCCTTTAAGCAGAAATATTTTCTTCTAAATATGAAGAGAAATACCAATAATAAAAGTCATAGAATACATAAGAAATACAAAAAAAGTTTCCCCTTTAAGTCTTAAGCTATTTAAAATTATTAAAAATATTATTCATTGTTAAGGCGCAATTTAAAATATGATTTGAGTTTTTTAATACGAAAGTTATGAAAAAATTTCGTATAGTAGTATAAACTCAACTTATTGTATACGTAAAAATTTTTAATTAATTTACAATTAGAATTTAGAAGAATGCATAACAATTAGAATTAATTTGCAATAAGAACACATAAAATGGTAAGATCCAAGACACGCAGTTCAATAAATTTTTGAGAAAAGAATTCTCAAGAAAAAAAAAATTCTCAAGCAAAAAAATTTGCCATTAAACCTTTAAAATTATCTCTAAATTAAATTTACATTTTAGAATCAATTTTCAAAAATTTTGCTGTTTTTATTATTACACACACGTGAATGAACCTATCTAAATACATTCATGTGTCTGTTTTGAATTATTATTCAATAATTGATCAAATATTAAAGAGAAAAGTAATTTGTATTGGGTAAGTATTTTATTCTTTTTCAAAACTCAAAATGCAATAATGATGTTGGTCTACTAAGGCTTTAATTACAGTCGATTTCAATCTTACAAAATACAAAATATCATAACCGAGTCAAAAATACTAAATATTTTGGGTTTCACGTAGCAACAACATTCTATTGCTTATTAAGAAAATTTTATTATTAATA